ACACACACACACACACACACACACACACACACACACACACACACACACACACACATACACAGACAAACACACACACTAGAAAGAAGCAGAAGACCTGGCAACCTGTCAGTATCAGTCATTTCCAGCTCAAACACAGTTACTGGTACAGAAAGCAGACTGGAAATATAAAGACTGGCCTCAGTAAATCTTTAACAATAAACAAACATCAACAGACGAACAGAGGATGTTTTACAACTACATTTAATCCATAATCAGAAGTGTATTTTTCAGAAAAGGGGTCAATTCTCCAGTAAATGTGTCTTGATTCCAGAATCTGCTCATATTTGTGCTCAGTTTTGAGTGTTTTTGTTTTAATAAAGGCATTACAAAATAAAAGTCTTGTGAAATGAATGAGGAATCATGTAAAGATGTTTAGTTTGACCTTCAGGTTACCGTTGTGCAGTGTACAGAGTGAATCTCAGCACACGAGTGACACTTCAGCACAAAATCAGGAGAGAATCATACATGTTGATATCGCATGAAGAAAATGAGGTTTAAATTCATCATCGGTGTGAGGTTATTATACTTAAACAAAGGAAAAAACAAAAACTAGAACTGAAAAAAAGATTTTTGTTACTGAAATAAAAATGAGTTTCTTAAAAATCTAGAATGGACTGAAACAGTAGTGTGTACATACAAAACTAATTAAAATTAGTGCAAAAACCTCCTTCGATTTCTTGCATAAGGCCACTGTAAGCCTTTTGGAAGTAAATTACTCCTCGCTGCAGTATATTATTATTTTATTATAATTGTATTATTATTATTATTATTATTATCACATTATTTTATTATTATTATTATTACATTATTTTATTATTATTATAATTATTATTTTATCATTATTATTACATTATTTTATTATTATTATAATTATTATTTTATTATTATTATCATTATTATTATTATTATTATTTTATCATTATTATTACATTATTTTATTATTTATTATATTTATTATTTTATCATTATTATTACATTATTTTATTATAACTATTGTTGTTAATATTTTATTATTATTATTATTATTGTTGTTATTAATATGTTATTATTATGATTATTATTTTATTATTATTATTGTTATTAATATTTATTGTTATTATTATTATTTTATTATTGTTATTAATATTTTATTATTATTATTATTATTATTATTATTATTAGTAGTAGTAGTAGTAGTAGTAGTAGTAAATATT